TATTTCAACAGTTTCAATAATAAAAAAATGTGATTCGTGTGCTATTTGATTTAATTAGTATTATATTACAATAGATATAGTTTAATGTGATCTAGGCTTAGCAATATTGCACACGTTTGGTATTATTAATCATGTTTGTATTATTTGTTTAGGAAAACAATTACAGTAATTTCGGTATATACGGTATACATCATTTTATGTTGTGGCATATGATTGCGCTACTATTACATTGACAAATTGATTCAACTGGCAGTAGTTTTATTTTACTCACTCCTTCTATTTTTTCTGACTTCTACGACATAAATCCTATATAATTTCTATAATTTTTTGAGACTCGAGATTTTCAAGAATCTCGAGTCTAAAATCTCGTCTTGTCTTTAAACTCTCCGCGCAAATCTTGACTCGATCTCGTCTTCAAATTCGGGACGAGACAAGACAAGATTCTCGAAATCTCGAATCTTGCGACATCCCTACTTCTTTCTGTTTAAAAAACAACGCATGTCAAAAATACTCTTTAGGAAGCTTCATTTTTTAAATGGTATAAACCAATGTTTACTGCATCTATTATTAGTAAATGACTAAATATGAAGTAGTAAAAATATAGCATTAAGAAACAAGCTGCGATTAGAATGTCTTCGACAACACTGATATTAGTGCCATTTCTTTCAAAATCCGCAAAACTAAATCACACTTCTGATAAATATGTAGATACTTTATTGAATACGATAATATACTGTTACGTCCAGTGGACTCCCACAGTTGTTTCTTTTGTGGAGGTCTGGAATTTCTAGCATTATAAGAGACAGTCACGAGTAACGAACAAGTCAGCTGCTGAAGATTTAGAAGTTAATAAAATTTTCTTTCTTTCTCCACACGGAAAATTAAGCGACAAATCCAGTATCTCCTCGTAAATGCCTCTTAGAGATAAACTAAAAATCAATGCACATGCGCGAACAGCGGGACCAAAAGGATGTCGAGAACTCCTTGGATACCGCGACTAAAGATAAATATATAATAATATAAATTTGTGGGCGCAGGACCGGCGCCAAGACATTTCTCTAACGATCAAGTAGAGGACGACTCCCACAAGTCCGCGATCGTATAATTAAGAAGCGACGTTCTAGAAGGATGTTCTTGATGGTCTCGTGCCGACACTACACGTGCGCTTACTTGACGTCTGTACATAATTTTAGTGAAAAGCGCCATAAAATTAAAGCGACACTACACAGATTCCGCCGAACACCCTTTTCTCCCTCAAAAACACATTCTAAACTTTGTCCAATCCTGGAACGAGAAAAAGAACTCTAACCAATAATTAACAAAAATCTATTCCTGCTCTGCATAGAAATCCCACCAATCCGAACCTGACTGACCCAACAGGATTTCTATATAAACTGCGGTTTTTTGGAACTTAGCCAGAATTTTCGAGCGATTCCAAAGACGCAGAGTCTGATTTATCGGTTAATTTCTCAGCTTTGCACGTCAATGCGGTTTATAAGTCATATTGAGACTTTCCACGAATGGGTGCCTGCTTAAACTGCTTGAACCAACGCCATCGTCGAACCGGGAGAATCCACCAAGGGGAACTCTCAAAAACCATCCTCGTCTCCTGTTTCGCTAATCAGACTCACGGCCCGTGATGTACATTTGGCTCCCGGGCAACACGAGAATCATCCCCACTACTCTCATTGTCTCGCTCCCTCTCGCGAAGCCGCTGCGTGAGAGCGAGCGAGACAGCGAGAGTGGTGAGGATGATTCTCGTGTTGCCGGGGAGCCAAATGTGCACCACTGCTCACGGCCAACTCGGACATTGAAGCCATTAAATAGTAAGTCATTGTTATCATTTCCGTTCATCCCTCTTTTTCCTTTTGTCTTTGTTCATAAAGAGACAATCATTTTAGTATACCCGAGTTTCAAACTCACTGCAGTAGACGGGCCAAGAAAAATGATCGAAACCTCCGTTGCCGCGACCGTATTCGCCGATTCGCGCCATCCAAGATCAATTAGTAAACGAAAGTTCATTAGACCTTCTTTTAGAAGTTCTCTTTCTCTTCCTTCTCCCGCTTTATCCCCTTCTACTGGCCGATTTCTTCCCTTCCTCAATCATCTTATTGTGATTCCCATTTTCAATCATCTTATTGTGATTTCCCCGCAGCTCTGAATGAACATCTGGATCCGACGGGCATCTCCTCTCCGTTCCCAAGCCCGGAACCAACATTTTACACGACTTTGGAACTACCTCCTCCGCTAACAGATGATTCTTTTTTCCTTTCTCCGCACTATATTTCCTAATTCACCCCTCCTGACATTTTCCTCAACGCAGCATTAGCGCAAGACGTAGATGAACTCATCCATCTCTGGTTGGCGTACCCTCCTTCTTCGCACGACCGCTTAGTCGTGCTTATCCAGAGAATGGAAGTTACTTTTTAAAAGTAACAAGTTACAGTTACTCGTTACCGAGAAGAAAAAGTAACAAGTTACCATTACTAGTTACCGATTTTTAAAAGTAACTCGTTACAGTTACCGTTATTTGAAAAAGAAAATTTTCGTTACTTTCCCGTTATTTTTTTTGAAATCTACGACCGCCAATCACAGCGGACGGGCCTAGGGGTTTCTCTAGTCTCAAGCGCTATGCACTGTAAAAAGTTATTGTGTAAAATCACAACTATTATAGTGGATAATTTTGAGACCCACTATAATAGTTGTAAACGTCCACACATTCGTAAATTTCCAATATGCAAATAAAAATAATGTCTTGGTTTGTAACTAAGCAGAAAGTGGAAGTACAATTACAATGTGTATATGTAGTTATAGGAACGATAATATGACAATATATTTCGCACTATATATTATTATATATTTAACAGCAATACGCGAAAAATTTCTGTTATATTACGTAATATTACTAAAATTTGAATAATTGAGGGGTTGAATTCTATAAGGGGATACACGTGGATTTCGCGGAATAAGTATTGTCTGCAAGGATTAATTTTGGACATCGTTTTAATTTCAATTTTGACGACTGATTCTTGTAGAAAATTTCATAGCGCATCTTTTTTTATCATTAAATCAAATTTGGAATTTTTTTGTTTTCGAGTTATTAACAAAAAAAGTAATTTTTTAAATGAAAAAACTTCAATTGGTTTTTGTGTTTAAGTCGCCATATCTCAGCCAAATATAAACATTTTTTTTTGAAATTTTAATAGGATAAACTTCAACATGTCTCTCGAAATATAAAACATATAAAAAGTTTTCGAAACATTTCAGAGCCAAATGCCGAATTTTTCAAAATATTTCTCTCGAATTCGTAGTTTTATTCATTCGATCACAAAAGTTATCGTACGAATTTTCGATTTGTCAAGTTTTACCGATACTACAATTTTGTTTATTAGTTAAGCAAGTTTTTTGGAAATTTTTAGCTCTTTAAATATTATGGTTGTAAAGTAATAACGATTTATATGTCGATTTGATTACGTAGCTCGCTGCGCGCAAAGCGAAAGTTTGAGCCGTTCGCTTCCGCGAAACAAGGGTATCAATAATGTATCAAAACATAATATACTTATTAAGTACTCCCAAAATCTTTTTCAACTTCTTAATTGTTTACAGTTACAAAATAAGAATTAGAGTATTATATCAATAAAAACTGTCAATAAAAATTGATCACAAAGCGTATTTTTAATCCATTAGCGAATATAAACGTACTCCTTTCCGTTGTGTATAATGAGATATTACTATTCTACGAAATGTAAATACACAAAAAACGAAATGAGTACATTTTTTTACATAATAGCAAATATTCATCATTTCATTTATTGAATTAATTCACACGTTGTACAGAATAATTCTATTATGTAAAAAAATGTACTTACATCGTTTTTTGTGTATTTACATTTCGTAGAATAGTATCTCACTATAATATATTACACGGGTAAAGAAATTTTTTTGCAGTGTAAGCGGCTTGTGTTGTATCGTGTCCAATCATGTGCAAAGTAACGATAAAAGTAACTGTAAAATTCGTTTCCGTTATAAAAAAAATTGTAACTTCGTTACCGTTACAGTTACCAAAGAAAAAAAATAATGCAGTTACCAGTAAAGTTACCAAAAAAGTAACTTGTAACTTCATTATAAGTAACGAGTTATTTCCATTCCCTGTGCATATCAGGAGATGTTCGTTGCCCTTTATCATATCTAACACTTTCGCCCTCTCACTCTATTCTCTTTTCCAGCCCCTCCCTAATTTTCTGTCGATCGTACGAATTTCCCTTGATTTAACATATTCCTCCTTCATAGTACCTCTCTGCTCTGTACCCAACACGCACACACGCACGCAGATATAATAAAGTAAGAAAGTTATATTGTTTATTTTTAATGTCTATTTTTATTGTAACATTTTTAAATTTTCTAATGAATAAACTTAGTAATTATATCGTAGAAATAAAACCTAAGCCTTGGTTATTCAATTAACCTCTCATGTTCATCCTCTGGTCTCCTGAGATTATACTGGGTCCTCTCCTCGGTCACATAGATTAAGATAACCATTTCGTGCCATAACCGAAACACAAGGACCAATGAACACACTAACATAATTGGCGTTATAGCGCGCGACGTGGCACATTGATCCAGTTTTGGGCCATTAACATATGTGCGTTCAACTCGTGGTCCGCTCCGCAGGACGTTGACCGCGAGAGAAATTCCAGTCACGTTCTTCCGTAACCCTTTGGAAATCCGGAGTGTGGTCAGGATCTCCGAAGCTATCTGTTACACTCCTCTCTAGCTGCTTGGTTATCCGGAGCTCGGACGTAACAATATGTTTAATTTTGTTTATTAAATAAGAGAAAAGCCTAAAATACAAAATAAAAATTTCTTTATTCTTATATTTAAAAAAAAATGGTATTAATCATGAAGTACCATGACTTCGCGATTTAATGAGCTTCCTTGGTAATTCCTTGAAACTTACGGATATATTGGATAGAATTGCAAGCATTTTCATAGATGGTAAATTTATGTCCTCTTGCAAATTCATTCAATGATTTTTTCTAAAAGGAATCGGATGCTTTATTAAATGCAAAATTATCTTGGTAACTTGCTTATTGGCAAAAAAAAGTATTATCAAAATTTTAAACCGGAACGTAAAAATTTATTGACATTTCCGGTTTATCGAATAATACACATAACAGATAATTAAAGATATCTGAGATATTTAATAAAAAAATATTTAATTAAAGGTATATTAAGATTATTGCGAAATAGTGTCTGCAATGTGACATCATATATGCTTGCCTGTAGTCGATTACGTAAAAAGCATATATACGATTTCAAAGTGCAATTGTTTATGTAAACAGTATTTAAGAGAAATACCTGTCGGGAACGTCGGCCGGTGCAACACTTCCGATATCTATCGAGAAATCACTTTGGATATCTTCCACATCACCTGTGTGATTACCATGAGCAGTAATCAGAAGCGTAGGTGTCGTTGTCAATTTATTTTCGTTTTGAACCATTTCAGAGCTTGTTATGGGTTTGTCAACTGATGTTTCTATTGCAATCTTCTCAGATGTTATTTTTCCGTTCCGAATGAGTGTTCCGTCAAATTTGTCTGTCAAGTAAGGATTATTTTTGGGACTTTGGTTAACTATTTTATCTGGATATTGATACAAGACATTTTTGTCATAATAATACTGTCCAGCTTTCTTAGTAACGGATACATTGCTCTTTATCTGTTGTACCAATGGTGTTGAAATTTTACTAGTAGCTTTAAGTTGAGATACATATCCGGTATGACCAGGATGATGGACTGCTTCGATCGTTTTATTGACGATTGTGACGCTTTGCACTTTCGTTCGTTTAGGATTCGAATTTTCCTCTTGTTTATGTACTTGAATACCAGTTGTTGAAATTTCTAACCAATACGAAGTGCTGGATAATAATTGTTCATTTAAACTGGATGATTTTAAAGGATTTTTGTGAGAATTATGTTCATGTGAATCTACATCAACAAAGGATTTGTTGCCTGACACTTTTAAAGATGCTTTTGATTGATCATCTTTCTGATAGGTGGAATAACTTGTTGATGTCTGGTTGAATAAAAATGAACTATACGGATATTTATTTTTGCTAAAAAGAGATTGAGTATTGCCTTGTTTTATATGAGATAAAACGTCTAGCCAACCGCTTTGAGTAGATGACAGTATTTTTTGATAAATCTGAGTAGTACCAGAGTACCGATTGTAATTGTTATTTATAGGAAACGAAATATTGGAATCTGTAAATGTATCTTTTTGATAAGAAGGAATATTCGTTTCGGAACTCGGAACAGATCCATAAAGTCCACTTTGTACAAAATTCTTGATAGATTGCAGCGAATCTTTTTTCCAAAATTGAAAATTATATTCGTTACTTGGCTTCGTGGTAAACAATATTTGATGGGACATATCAACGCTATAACTTGGTGGTTTAACATTCGGTTTTATCTGATACAGATTAAGATCGTCGTAATCATATGGTGTCTTGCTAAGTCTCTTCTGATCGTTCAAATTCCATTGTTCCTGATATTGTGGTTTATTGAGATTAATGAAATGACCTTCATTCAATCTGTTAATTAAATCACTATTTTGTAAATATAGATTTCTGACACCGTTCAGTTTTTGTTTACCATATGATTCCTGATTTGATTTATCTGATCGGAAGTTTGTTAGGGACGTAAATCCATTATAAATTAGATTTTGTACATGATGCAAATCTTCATTTGGTCGCGAATTGCATGGAAGTTTAACTACATTATAATCTGATCCGTGATATAATTTGTCGTTCCATCCAAAATTCGATTGAAGATTTGGTTGTGTACTTGTTAAAGATCTATGTTCGTCATTACTTGGTTTGTCTGTATGATAAGGTTCACTATTTAATACGTAATTTGGCTGCGTGATTGTTGAAGGTTTATATCCACAGTAATTTTGTCTGTGTGTATGATGAGATTCGTTATTTATTTCATAATTTGTTCGAGAATTTGGTCGTGTAATTGAAGGTTTATGTTTATTATAACTTGGTCCATGTGTACGATAAAATTCATCGTTCGTTGCATAATTCGGTCGGAAATTTGGTCGCGTAGTTGTTGGATATTTATATTCATCATAATTTGGTTTATGTGTATAAGATTTATCACTTGATACATAATTAAGTCTGATCAACTCCATATTTGTTAAAAGTTTAAGATCAGCATAATTCGGTTTTTTTTTAGCTGGATTTTGTTCTTCTTTTAATTTATTATGTCCGAAATTTTCTAGAAGTTTAGGTTTTTCGTAAGAATATGCTGGAATCAAATTGTGGTATGAAAGTCCGTAATTAATCAAATAACCGTCAATCTCTGGCATTTGCGTAATAGTCTGCTGGAAATTTGTATAATAAGTGTAAAGAGTAGGTCTGGGACTAGTGGCAGGGTAGTTATCGTAAGAGATGTCATCCTGTGTGAAAGGAGGCAATCTGTATCCATAGACTAATGGATTCGGATTATGAGGATCGTTAAAAGTGTAGGGAACATACGGTTGACGTGCTAAATAAAAATTTGATGAATGAGAAATAGTCGTCGGTATAGGTTTTTCCTGCGGTCGAAAAGTTGAGTTAATAGGAAGCTGTTCCTGGATTTTAATATGTGAGCCGTAGATACCTTCATTTACGAAAACAAGCGCGTTTACGGCATTATTTTGGACCACGATCGTGACATTGTTGTTGTTTGGATGCACAAGTGGTCTTTTCACAATGATTTTATTTTCTTGATTAATGCTGTTCTGGAAAGGTTTTAGAGTTGTAACTTTTGTATGTTCGGGATTACTTTCGGGATGAATTTTTCTCCTAGGATGGATGTTTTCCTCTTTTAACTTAGAAATAGAGAAACTTGTGTCGGTCGCCGCTCGTTTAACTTTTTGCGAGTTGTCGACGTTGCTTTTGAATTCAGATGGTTGTTCGGTCCAGAGTTCAAGGCTCAGATGTCCAATGGCTAAATCATCGCAAGAGAGACGTTGATTCTTCAATACATCCGTCGCAAGGAAAACAAATGGTTGTATGGTTTTAATGTCATCCATTGTTTGACACAGTACTTGAGCCAAAGTGACTTGTCTGATCTGTTGCAATTGACCAGCGGTAAAACTGCTTTCGCTATTGGGATTTTCGTACCAGAATCGATCGCCACGTCGCAGATTACTGAATTGTTGAGCGATTATACAAGCGAAAGTCGGACCAACCAGACCGCCAATTACCGATTTTTCTGCTAGACCGGCTGAGAAGAGGTCAATATCATCCACCGACGAGTATAATGATTTTAATTTTCTTATGATGTCCAGCGACATCACTTTGCTAAGATCCTCAAAGGTTCTTATCGGACTCAAGCTGCAAGGCTTACGCCATCGGATGTAAGGCGGTATACCGTGATCTCTACCCCGCTGAATATTGAGAGAAGCAAGATCCATGCCGAATGGAAAACCAGGCGTTTGAAAAAGATGATTAGTCATCTCTTCGGTTATAAACTCGTCCCGCCTCTGGCATGGTTGATTTACTAATCCTAGAAGAAGGCGGTCGACAGATCCTGCTGTGTCCAAATTCACAGGGTTGGTGAACTCGTCATGAATCGAAACATCTGTGACAATGTTTATTTCTATTATCGAATATTGTTTAATAATAACTTTATTTCAATTAATTACGATTGTATTATTTAATTATGACTACGATTTCCGTTTCCGGTGTGATAAGATGAAGTGGACGATTTGTGAGTGGGCAGAGCAAAGGGTGAAAGTGGAAAGAAAGAGAGAGCGTGTTATAACGTATTCGATTACTGACTCGACCCGACTCCGAGTCAACAGTCTGTTCTTTTTAGCTGCATTTCTT